ACTTTGAATGAGGGTTGCTATGGTTTGTCTTTAATTTAAAGGAAGCTTGATAGGAAATACTTTAGATCTCAAGTATTTCCTATCAATTTTCGTAAAACAGCTAGAAACTCATCCAAACTCTAATGAAAATCAAGAGAAACAGTAGATTTTATTGCAAGAAATTAACTAACGGAAGAAAACAACAAGATACAAACAATCCTCTATTCGAAAGGAGGATCTATCTCTCCCAATCTCTAGACGAATCTAGAGCTCAAAACCTAAACCTAAGAGATCCCAAAATCAGCCAAATTCAAGATGTCGTAACCCTAGGAAAACAAAGTATTTAATGCATACAAATCAAAAGGAAATCCCTAAACAGTCTCTACATTCAAATTTCCCTCTTAACCCCCCCCCAAAAATCTTTCCAATTTGGCTCTTGAAAAGCTCGCGGCCTCCGCAGCACGCACCAGAGGCGGAGAATCGCACCTCTGTCTGCGCCTGGGCCGGTCCCGCGTGGACTGGCTGGACCGGTCCAATGTACCGGTCTAACAAAGCTTGTTTTAGGTTTTATTACGAGTGAATGGCTATGATAAGATATGAACTAGGGGTTTAGTGTACCCAAAAAAATAATAAATTATGGCTTGAATGGAAATTTATTCCAAGTCTCTTAAGGAAATATGTTGCGCCACTATTAGAATTAGAGGTGCATTCATGAGGAGGCTAATGTGTGATTTACTAAAGAAGTTAGGGATTTTTTATTGTGAGGTAGGATAAATGCATGGTAGCTGGCTATGTGGGGTATTGCCAAAACCAAATTCACAATTGGGGGTGTGGGCTTGGCTTCTCTAGGAAGAGGAAATATGAGGGTTACGAGTGTAGAGAAAGAAGTGAACAGTTGAAGAAGAAACTATTCTGAGATTAAGTTGCCATTTTTAGAAGAAGGGGAAAAAAAACCAACCTGACTCATACTTTAGTTAATTGAGGTGGTGCATGGTGGTCTAGTCCTTGGGGGAGGGAACCAGGGAGAGAGACCATGCTTTCATGATCCATTTATACATTGTGTGCATCACAAGTTAGCCTTTTTGAATAATCAACAAAAATTCTTTGGATCAAGGTTTTTAAATTGCAAAGCACATTATAAAGCGCAATTGTTTTTAAGCGCGAAGTATAAAAAAGAATAAAGTAGCAAAACAATACTTGAAAATCAATGATACCGACAAGATAGAGAGCAACAAATTGATCTTCTTGAGTAGTTGCATGAATTGAGATGCTGTTGCTTTTATGTGAGAGTCAATGCCCCTTCATTTATGTGGATTATAGATGGGAGTCAATGAGATTGAGAGTGAGGAACTAATGGCAGACTGACAACAAGGAGAGTTTGGAAGTTATGAAATCTAGAGAGTAGGAGGTGATAGAGAGCTGGAAAAGAAACAGACAAGATTGTTTTGAGTTTCACTTAGGGTTCGTTTGGGACAACATTCTTTCTACTTCTTAAAACAGCTTTCTAGTATAAAATTTTTAATTTTTGTAATAGAAAGCTGCTTTATAAAGCAGTAAGAAAGCCATCCTAAATGAAGTCTTAATGACTGAGATCTTTTAATAGCATATGTGAACCGATGCTTCATGTGAACCAAGAGAATGCAACAAGATTAAACAATCCATGCTTTTTTCTTTTACTTAAGCTTGTTTTTTGGCATTTTTCATGAGATTCCTCACTCGTGACAAATTTAGTGAATGAAGGCATCAGAACAAATTGGAATTCTCCAGTTATGATTCTTCAATAGAAAGGTTGTTGATGCGCTTTTGCTACTTTGTAGTGAGAAAAATGACAATAATAGAAGGTCGGACCTGACTAGAACCTTCAAATGGAATTCTGTCTAAATGTAGAAGAGTAGCTCAGTTGAGTTTTAGATTTTTCTTTCACCATTTCCTTCTACGGGGTGCTATTTGAAATGTCAAAGATGAATTTTCCTAGCCCGCGCATGGCCTTAATCATTGAACTAATTTTGTTGTTGTTTCTTGTTTACTTACTAGTTCAATATTTAATATTTTAGCCGCGTATAAATTCCATCTCCAATTGTTAGAGGGGAACAACTAAAATGAAAAAAAAAAAAAATCTCAAGCTGGTTAAAGATGTTCTGGCTCATACTTGTTCTGTTTCTATAACCTAAAAACAAGTTCCTTCCTTCGGTGGCTAAAGAAATTGTTGATTAAATTGTGAAGCTGTTAGGCCGGCCCAAGGGGGCCTGCTAAATATATTAAACCGGTCCACTAGGGACCGGTTTTGGTTTACAAAAGGAGGTGCCAAGGGGGGCGGAATCTAGGGGGAGAGGGGGGTGGCTAAACAGATGGGTCTCACACTTTAATTAATTACTATATTGGAAGAAAAATTCAAATTAGATACTGCTTAGGGATTAAATTTTTGTCCTTTTGCTTTAATTAGTTTGGTCTTGCTAGGATTAGGATTATCTTGAGTTTTGTAATCAGAATTTGAGATCTAAAGCTTGGTTTTGGGCTCAAAGCTTCAGCTAATCGAAGATTCATTGTATCAGATTGTTTCTTTCCTTCTCTTTTTTATTTTTGAATGCTTTTCTCTCAGATTTTCCTACAGAATTTGTGAATCCTGCACGGTTATTGCTGGATATTGCTGAAATTCAACAGTTTTATTGAATTTTGTGGACTGTTTCCTATCAGAAGCTTACCTTCTGTTAAAAAGTTATGTCGTTGGATTAAATATGTTGATGTGTTTATGTAACTATAATTTTCTATTACTGTTCATTAATGACTTACACCAAAAAGTTTGGATTAGGTTATTGATTAGGGATTTTCCATGTTGAAACTGATATGAAAATTCGACTCAAAAGTAACACAAAACATTCAGCTTTGGGTCAACCTATGTAATATTCGAGTTGGATTCATATTAGCTTCAACGACAACACAACCACCACCACCACAACAACAACAAGAAGTCTTTATCCCAATTACCCAATATGTGGGATCGGTTACATGAACTATTATTTTTCATTGTGTCCTATTAAGAGTCAAATTCTCATCTAAATCTAATAAAGAAAGGTCATCTTAACTTCAACGACTTAGAAAAAATGGTTGATGGTTGTGTTAAAAATAATGACTTAACTATTTGATTTTTTTTTTTATAATAAACTCACATTAAATTATATTTTTTCAAAATTGTTTGAGGTATCACTTCTAAATTAGTTAATTAGATGGTCCCGTGCGGACCGGCTGGACCGGTCCAGTGGACCGGTCTAACAGACTCATACTTAAATTAATTGATTAGCGCATGGTGGTCTAGTCCTTAGTCCTTAGGGGAGGGAACAAGGGAGAGAGACCCTTCATACTTTCATGATCCATTTATATATTGTGTGTATCACAAGCTAGCCTTTTTGAATAATCAACAACAAAATATTTGGATCAAGGTTTTTAAATTGCAAAGCACATTATAAAGCACAATTGTTTTTAAGCCCAAAGTATAAAAAATAATAAAGTAGCAAAACAATACTTGTAAATAAATGATACCCAAATGATAGAGACCAACAAATTGATCTTTGTGTTGCATGAGTTGAGATGCTGTTGCTTTTATGTGAGAGTCAATGTCCCTTCATTTTTGTGGATTATAGCGGGAATCAATGAGATTGAGAGGGAGAAACTAATGGCAGACTGACAACAAGGAGAGTATGGAAGTTATGAAATCTAGAGAGTAGGAGGTGATAGAGAGCTGGAAAAGCGATAGACAAGATTGTTTTTAGTTCCACTTTGGGTTCGTTTGGGACGACTTTCTTTCTACTTCTTAAAACATCTTTCTAGTATAAAAAAATTTAATTTTTGTAATAGACACTGTTTTATAAAGTAATAAGAAAGCCGTCCCAAACGAAACTTTAATGACTGAGATCTTTTAATAGCATATGTGAGCCGATGCTTCATGTGAACTAAGAGAATGCAACAAGATTAAACAATCCATGCTTCTTTCTTGTACTTATGCTCTTTTTTTGGCATTTTACATGAGATTCCTCACTCGTGACATATTTAGTGAATGGAGGCATCAGAACAAATTGGAATTCTCCAGTTATGATTCTTCAATAGAAAGGTTGTTGGTGCGCTTTTGCTACTTTGTAGTGGGAAAAATGACAATAGTAGATGGTCGGACCTAACTAGAACCTTCAAATGGAATTCTGCCTAGATGTAGAAGAGTAGCCCAGTTGAGTTTTAGATTTTTCTTTCATCATTTCGTTGGATTAAATATATTGATGTGTTTATGTAACTATAATTTTCTATTACTGTTCATTAATGACTAAAACCAAAAAGTTAGGATAAGGTTATTGATTAGGGGTTTTTCATGTTTAAACTGATATGAAAATTCTGCTCAAAAGTAACACAAAACATTCAGCTTTGGGTCAACCTATGTAATATTCGAGTTGGATTCATCTCAGCTTCAATGACGGCGACAACAACAACAAGCCTTTATCCCGCTATGTGGGGTTGGCTATATGAATCTTTTTTTTCCATTGTGTCATGTTAAGAGTCAAATTGTCATCTAAATCTAATAAAGAAAGGTAGTCTCAGCTTCAACGACTTAAAAAAAAATGGTTGTATTGAAAATAATGACTTAACTATTTGATTTTTTTATATTAAACTCACATAAAATTATATTTTTTCAAAATTTTTTGAGGTATCATTTCTAAATTAGTTAATTAGATTCATTTTGGGTCGGGTTAGTACTAATTCGTCACGATTTGAATATTTTCATGTCATGTTCGGTTGGATTCGGGTTTGGTGGAATTGGGTTCGAGTTAAGATTTTCAACCCATTTAATAAACAAAATATGTTTGGGTTGATTATACTCATTTCGGGTTATTTTTAAATCCGATTTAAACCCATTCCTTGAATCAAACTTGACATCCCTACCATTTGTTCATAATTGTCTAGCATCTTTACTAAAGATAAGTCATACGCATAAAATGCTCATCCTTAGCTCAGTTTTTCAAAATGAACCAAACTTTCAGTTCCACCCTGGAAAGAATGTTGGCTTGGGGAAGGACTTCACCATCTTCTCGTTAATTGATGGAGTAGTAAAATTTGAAAAGTTTGGACCAGATAGAAAGAAGGTAAGCCCAGTTTCATGTTTATCAAGATCTACCAACTTTTTAGGCTTCGTTTTGGACGGCTTTTTTCCTGCTTCTTAAAGCAGCTTTCTAGTTCAATATTAAAATTTTTGTACTAGAAGCTGTTTTAAGAAGCAACAAGAAATCCGTCCCAAACGAGCCTTAAAGAAGAAAAATATTATCACTAATACATTTTGCCTGTACTTTCAGATTAGTGTTTACCCAAGAGTTGAACAGCCTGAGAACCCAAACAGCTTCAAAGCAAGGAGAAGAGAGTACTTCAGGCTGCAGCGTGAGCGCATGAAGGCAAGGAAGGAAGGTATTTTTCCTCCTCAACTGGTACTGGCTTCTTCTGAAGGTGTTTCTCAAGCTTCTGTTCTTTCCTAAGATTAATGGCTCCTGTATATTGTATGTTTAATGGTACCTTTTCCATTACTTTGTTCTTCTTTTTGAAAAGCTTAAATTGATGGTTGAAGATTCATAATCAATGCATAAATTATCATCATCTTATTTCTTTTTTCTTTTTTTGTCTGTAAATCTTAAAAAAAAAAAGATTTTAATGACGATATCCTATATTTGTATGTTTCATTTATGGCTTAAGATTGGTTTGTATGAGAAAGATATAGGCTTTGTTTGGGACGGCTTTTTTACTGCTTCTCGAAAGCAGTTTTTTAGTATAAAAATTAAATTTTTGGTGCTAGAAAGCTGCTTCAAGAAGCTACTTTGTTCTTCTTTTTGAAAAGCTTAAATTGATGGTTGAAGATTCATAATCAATGCATAAATTATCATAATCTTATTTCTTTTTTCTTTTTTTGTCTGTAAATCTTAAAAAAAAAAAGATTTTAATGACGATATCCTATATTTGTATGTTTCATTTATGGCTTAAGATTGGTTTGTATGAGAAAGATATAGGCTTTGTTTGGGACGGCTTTTTTACTGCTTCTCGAAAGCAGCTTTTTAGTATAAAAATTAAATTTTTGGTGCTAGAAAGTTAAAAACCGTCCCTAAGGAAGCCATAATGATGATGGAAATCAAGGAAATGCGAAGTCAAAGATTAATAAGAGGTTAGACTATGAAAGAGGCATTTAAATTCTATAATAGTTATTAATTATTTATTTTTGAAATAAAAAATATTATTATATGAATGAAATGTGTGTATTTCTTCATTTTTTATATTTATTTGCTACTTCAAAAACTTATTTGAATTTATCACATAAAATTTGTTCCTCACACCTCCACCTTGAAGGGGAATTGGAGTATGTTTAGAAGCTAACAACTAAACGAAGAAGATAATTGGATAATTAGAAGTAGATTATAGAAAAGGGCAATTTGAGGGTACTTATAATTATAGAAATTTATTGGGGGAGAAGAGAGGAGGTTGTAGCTTAATTTATTCATTTTTATATGTTGATACTCCATAAGAGTAAGTATTTATAGAAATAAATGGATTCAATAAATCATAAATTATCTTTTTAACTTTTAATACGCAAATCAATAGAGGATTTAGGTAGTGCAAGTTGTTATTTTTTGGGAGATATTTATACTAATTAAGGTTAGGGCTGCAAGTGAACCAAACGTTCGATGAACTATTCGTTGTTCGGTTCGATTAAAGCTCGTTCGTGATCGTTTAATTAACTAACAAACCAAACCAAACATGAACAAGCTAATGTTAAACAAACACAAACATGAACACTCACATACTCGGCTCGGCTCGGTTCGTTTGCAGCCCTAATTAAGGTAAACTAACACACACATAGCATATGTAAGATTTGAATTCAAGATATTTTTGTTGATAGTCGAAGCTCTCTACGAACAGATCATGGTGAGCTGCGTGATAATGCCATTTGTGAACGACGAATTTGGTGATGGGAAATTTAAGGTGGCAAGATCTAGTGACTTTTGCTTGGAGGCGATAAGATTCGGGCTTTGATGACAAGATTTGTCGAACAATAGCTTAGAGGTGGGAAGATATGGGTAAGAAAGTGAGATCTAGTAGAGAGATGATGTTGGATTTCGGGCTTGATGGTAACATGACTTGGGACTAACAAACTTTGATGGCGATGGGGTCTAGGCATGGACTACAAACAATCATGTTTTGCTCACCCTTAAAGGAGATGCTGGTTCCGTCTCTACTAAGCATCGATGAATCTCGGGCACAAAGAACGACGATGGGTGTATGATTTGGTCGATAGGGTCTAGAGGATTGAGGCATCAAATGGCATAGCCATAACAGACCTAGTGATGCAAGGTTTGTGCTTGTTGTGGGGAACATGTGGATGCACATATTTCGAATTAAGATAGGGTACCAAGGATGACAAGGCTCAGTAAGGAACAATTATTATGTCCTCCGACCAGATGTAGAGGAACGTCCGGTCGGAGGCCAAATCGCGCCAAAAAACGAGAAATACCGAGCAAATAACGAGCAATACCAAACAATAACGAGGAATACCATCACGTGAAGACCCAATACCGAGTTATACCGAGCTATACCGAGCAATACCGAGTTATACAAAAGTTGTACCGAGTTTTTCCTAGAAAAAACTCGGTACAACTCGGTATTGCTCGGTATAACTCGGTATTGGTCTTCACAGAGCGGTATTCCTCGTTATTATCAAATAATACCTAGCAATACCGAGCAAATACCAAGTTTTTTCGCGGGATTTTGCCTCCGGCCGGACCTTCCTCTACGTCCTTACACCGGACCTAATAAAAGTTCCTCAATAAGAGCGCCATTTTCAGGAACCTAACAATGAAACAAAGAAGACTGCAAGCTTTTCCAAAAGTTCAAAACTAGATTTAGGAATAAGAAGGGCAATTTGAGGGAGAAGAGAGATGAGAGTCCTAGCTCAATTCATTTATTTGCATGGCTTAATACTACCTAAGGAGAATTATTTATGAAAAAAAATAATAAATTGTATATTAACCCCTAATACTGATTAGTTATTTAACTAAAATGAATAACAGTGACCTATTAATCTAATCCTAATACTGATTGCTGTGGTTGCTGTAAGAAAGTTGATTTTCACATTTGTTTTAGGGAAATTATCTCTAATGCTCACAACATTATTAAATTTTTAAATGCCCGAAAATAAAATTTTGATGCTTTTTAAAATGAAAACCACTTATCACTGTTGCCACCAGCTAGGGGTGTCAATTTCTGACATGACCCAAAAATCCGACCCGAATCCGACACGAAAAATTCGGGTTTTGGTCAACCTGTGAAAGAAACGGGTTTGGGTTTAAGGATTAGACCCGTTTATATATTCGGGTCGGGTTATGGTCAACCCGTCAACCCGCGGGACGACCCGAATAACCCGCGAAGCTTATAATTGTATAGTGTATATTTGTAAGTTGTAACAATGTATGTAGCGAAACGTGTCGGATTCGGGTCAACCCGTCAACCCACGGGTCGACTCGAACATGAGTCATGTCGGGTCAACCCGTGAACCCGCTCGGGTCGGGTCCGGGTCAGCCAACCAGAACCGTTTAATCAAACGGGTTGGGTTCGGGTCAACCCGTTTACACTCGGGTCATTACGGGTTGGACTCGAACCCGACCCGCTGACTCGAATTGACACCCCTACCATCAGCCACTATCACGGTTGGCCTTCAACGTCTTATACTCTATTCAATAAAAATAAAAATAAAACATATATATGATATTAATTATATTTTTATTTCATATGAATATATATATATATATATATATACATCTTATAAAGGCTTGATAATTGTCAAATTTCCAAGTGTTTTCTTGATAATTAGTCTGTAAAGACTATTTTTTAGTTGTTGGAAAACATTTTTAAATTATTAAAAAAAAAATTTCTACTTGAGTAATTTTCTAGAAATTATCTTCTATAAATAATATCCAAAGGATTTAAAGAGAAGAAACAATGAAAAACATTTCTCAAAAATAGAAAAAGTTTCTAAAAGATTTTTCTAACTCAAAGCAATATTCCCTCAATCTCCTGAAGTCTTATTTGCAAAGTTTTCATAACCAAATCATTGTTGTGAAGCAATCAGTGAAATTGAAAGATTTGCAATCATCATTTGCAATTTAATCTTGGTTGCTTAAACAATTTTTTATTTGCAGAGTTATAGCATAGCATACTTGTTGCCATCTTACTTTAGGATTGGAGCACTACCTCTTATCTTAAAACCCTAAGATAATAGGAAAGACACATCATCAACTAGGAACAACACATGCTTCTGAATTCGAGTTAGTCTTAACCTCAGTAGGGCTTCATCATGCCAGAGACATTAGTTCACATTCGAGTTAGTTTAGGAATGACATATTATGTAAATACGCTTTGGTCTCAGCAGATTGATCGATCTTGCCACCAATTAAACAATAATCTTGCATATAACCAATTTAAATAACCAAATCTCTAAATATTCAAAGCCATGACTTATTTTGATACTGACTTTTTGATCATGGTAATGACATATTTCCTAAAATCTTAAAATAACAAGGAAGATGCATAAATAGTGTTTATCAACTATACACAATGCATATATCCTTGGATTTGAATGATACTTGACCCCACCAAGCCTCTGCCATGACAAGCACACCAGTTCATCCATGACCCAGTTCAAGGGTGACCTACTTTATAATCGTAGCTCAACCCCATCAGATGTATGATTCTACTATATACATCTTTGCAAAATTTTCTTATGGATAAATCAGATGTATCGATATAAAGTGAGCTAACTTATTAATGGATCCCTAATGACCCACACAATATTATGACCCATACCTTAATGAGGTAGAATATAATTAATATATTCTTACTTCCATTATAAAATAAGTCAAGCCTAAAAAAATATTTTATCTTTGTAGCATTTGCATATACATGAGGAAAGAACTAGAAACTTAGCAAAATGACAAGTGATATAGTGATAACTACACCATGTGGCTAACTTTTTGATGGAGATGGACATGGGATGATAACAACACAATGTGGGTTGATTTAATGGAAACATTGTTGACAATGACTTATGCCTAACTAAGCTTAGTCAAAATGAATTATTAAGTAAGAAGAAGATTTGGAGAATCATTGTTGAAATTAGGTCGAAGTAGTAGGCTTATTTAAGATGTCTATCATCTTAATTTGGAAATATGACAATATTAATCTTTTTCCTATGACACACCACCTTTTTTTAATTAAGTTTTACATTTTAATTTTGATTTCAAGCTGTTTTGATTTTATCTATCTTTGAATATATTTTTTAGTCCAATACATCACTTTGATTCAAAGATTGTTAATGTTGCGTCATGGAGTATTCGCGGCGGTAGAGAAATATAAAGTTTTACGTCTTAGCCTTGTATGAAAATCCGGCATGCAATCAGATAAGAGAGGGTGTAGCATTGATGAGAGAGACCAATATTTTTACGTGGAAAACCCCTGAAAAGGGGGAAAACCACAGGGTCTAGCCCAATTTGAATGAATCCACTATTATTCGCAGTCGATTACAAATAAGACCCTTCCTTAGGGGAAAGCCTT